TTAGCACGGCGGTGAACCATCGTGGGGACCGCTACGACCCCGAGGGGTTTGCACCAGATGATGTTGATGATGTTGTTCCGTTCTGATAGTAGGGCCCTGCTGTGCTTCAAACCTGCCTCTCAATGTGCCCATAGGTGGGCCTCTTCTACATCCGTCAAGACGAGGTGATAATGCGATTCACGTGGCCCCTCACAATCCTAAACCGAGACAATATGGTGCTCTAGTTAACAGGATTGTAGTCTCTACACTACCGGTCAGTGAATTGTGGCTAGCCGACCAACCTCAACTGTGCTTCTGATATCTTTCCACACGTTGCCTGCTCCCTTTACTCTGGGAGTCTGTGCTGAGTTTCTGGCACGCTGCATGTAAGATGGCACTGGGTCGATCAATGACACCAAAAACAAAATATGACTGCCGGTGGGGCCATACTGGATAAGGAAACAATGCGGCACGAGCCGGGGTGAGGCAGTTTAATGAATTGTCATGATTTGATTCAAGAATGTATCACTTTTAACACTGTGGCTGCAGGGGTCACACAAATCCGTTACTCGCAACGTATAGAAAAAAGTTAATTCTTAAACATTTTTTAAAAGTAACATTAGCTGACAGGATGGATATTAATTGGTGAATTGATACCTCTTACACGCCTACACGTTTAGCAGGAAGAACATGTCCATATGTACATCATCATCTTGATGTCAAGGCGCACATGGAAGAATTTTTTAAGGGTATGGTAAGCAACTCTCAAAGTTATGAGATCATTTTTGCAAAGTGTTGTAGACGTCACCAGAAAAAACAAGGTTGTGATAGGTTAGGCGAGTGTATAAGATAGAGGAGGGCAGGTTACCAGGTAAATACCTAAATATAGATTGTGGAAGACTGTAAAGGCAGATCTTAAAAATTGGGCATCGACTTTACAACTACATGATCTCGTGAAAGGAAATCAGGTGTGGTGGGCATCAATAGTCCTGACCTTGGGATAGTAAATGTACGCAATTCTTGGAAAACGCATTCTCCAATGAACTTCATAAGCTGTGTGTGCTGCAGGGGTTTCAAGCAAGAAGATATTCTGCTAAATTAATTTGGACTCGGATATACTACTTTTATATTGCTCCTAGGTGGAGCCATTTAAATTTTAGTTCAATTTTTTTTTTTTTAGATTTACAACTGTCATTACCTTAGGTTAATAGTTGATGTATTTCGTTCCGTTTACCTTCCAGGTCCAAATATACCCAAAGTAGGACTTACGGACCTGATGGATTTCTCAGTGGTGGCCTAGCAAACTCACCAGGAGATTCCCTGCTCGGGGAAAGTTGCATACGTTCATTGCCGCGGAGCACTCCATTGAACGGCGGAATTGCTGTGGTTCAAGTACATTTCTACGTAACGTGTAAGCTTTCGCGACCAATATTATCCATCAGAGGTTTTTGGGTGAGATGGCGTAAATATAAATGTGTCTTTAAACCCGCCACCACCTGTCACAGCCAATTAGTAAGGTTTGCCAATTAAACATAGCATGCTCATTTGTTACTAGTTCAGCACAACGGTGTGTTGGAGAGTCAACCCATAACATTTACAATTCAAGTATAACAAATTGCCGGCAATTACGATATGTTTATTATGTTACCAGGTAAGGCCCACCGAGCTATGTAGCTCTTTTTCAGAAGCGACCTGACCACAAATAATGAATGGCTCAACGAAGTGGCTTATCATGTGGAAATTTATATCAGCCAAATACGGAGGACCCGAGGAAAAATACATGCAACCACGGGGAGAGAGACACACAAACTCCAAATATACAGCAGGCGTCAGATTTGGGATCGAACCCACGAACCTCCTTCATACCAGGCATACCACCGCGGCACCCAAATAGGAATCTTCCACGATACGACTACACACTTTTACAACCAACCTCATCAGACGACAGCCAGAGAAATAAATGTTAAATATGTCCAAACATGCGTGCCAACAAGGGTACTCAATCGATTTTGATGATGTTGAAGTTTGTGCAAAACTATTTACTACTTCCCAAAACTAATTAGATAATTTATTGAAATTGAGAGATATAAAAGTTATTTTAACCGCTCTGATAGCTACAGGCTTAGTGCTGCTTGGTAGCGTATTATTAAGGAATACACTTTTTTTTCTTGGTTCTTTCGGTAAAGTCACGGAGAAGGGAAGTAATAAAATAATAAAAATTAAACATAATAAAATAATTCTCACGACGTTTCGGCCACAACGCAAGCAGCCGTCCTCAGGTGAAACCCAGGTCTGTCGAGGCGACAGTGTCTGAAGGAAAGTTAAAATTAATAAAAATAAAACAATAAAAATCACGACGTTTCGGAGGCAACACAAGTCTCCGTAATAAGGTGGGACCGTCACAGCCAGATTTACTGCATCTTGTGTTGCCTCCGAAACGTCGTGTTTTTCATTGTTTTATTTTTATTAATTTTTATTTCATTTTTTACCTACGTGACTTTACCGAAAAAACTAAGAGTATGAAATCCTTGCAGTCACGAAAGCTTCAAATCTAGAATGTATCCATAATGTGCATGCGTGATGTACACACATTATGTTGATTAACTGTGAATAACCCAACCAATAATAGAGATCCTTTATAATGTATGTAAATACATTAACCCACCCCCTACTGGTCTTCCCACCTGCTTGGCTCAGAAGTGACGACATCACATTTATCCCGAAATTTAAGACCACAGCAGGAGGATGTCTCCACAACCCTGGTTGTCGCCGAATGAGGCTGGTTTTAATTCCCGACAATTCATTGACCGGTAGTGTAGAGACTCGAATTGTAAATGTTGTGGGTTTATTCCACAACACACCGGTGTGCTGAACTAATAGCGAATTGCCATGTTTTGTTGACGTGACAACCCTTAATAATTGACTGTATCGGGTGGTGGTGGGTTTAACGACACCTTTATATTTACGAGATATAACCCCGATAAAACTCTATTATGGATCAATTTTATTCATTTAGCCAATCAGAGCTTAGTGGTGGGGCAAGGTGAATCTTGCCACATCATCCACAACACCCGCCCATGGTTAGTCGATCAGACTCCAATCTTTAATTCAAGAAAAAAAAACTCACACCAACGTAGGTGTGTTTGCGGCAGTGTAGCGGTGAGCACGCAGCGCTACGAATCCGGCGACCCGAGTTCGATTCCAGCTCGCGACGCGCACCAATACCAGTGGCGATTATCTGAACCGGTCCTGGTTTCTCCCCTAAGTCAACGCAGCTTCAAATGAGTTACCTGGTGCGATATGTAAAAACTTCGCCACGAGGGAAACAAAGGCGGTTGGGCGTGGTGCTGGCCACCCACCCCCTCGTGTGCTGTGCTGGCCTTCATAGGTGGTCGCTCAGAGCACTTGCCCCAACAGTCTGTTAAGGCTATATGGGGGATCTTTGTCTTTGTAGCGGTTAGCACAGTGTGCTCCGAACCCAGGGACCCAAGTTCAATTCTCGCCCATAAACAGTGGCGAATGTTTGAACTGGTTATGGGTCTTGCCTAGGTCGACTCAGCCTTAAATGAGTGGCTGGTGCGGTGTGTAAACATCAGCACTGAGGAGACAAAATAATCTGGACGTGAGGTTGGTCACCTACTCCATTGTGCACCATGCCGGCCTTTCATTGGCACTCACAACACTTGCCCCGACAGTCTGCATGTAGTAGGCGAAACGGGGGATCTTTGTGTTTGAGCTTCTTCGGACGGGCTGTTCCACCAAGGAAGCGTTTAGCCCCTTACACTCATCTCTACTGACAGATCTGAATGGAAGAATGATGCCTTCCTATGACGATGGCAGGGACACATCTCCCCACAACACGATGAGCTGCACAATATTCTGTCAACTCCAGATGGATAATGATGCTGTTGACTAAGAGGGTGATAATGCTTCTTTCTGATAATTATGATGACGCACGCATTTCATGAAACAGACAAAATCCCCTCCATGGCCTTATGGGCTTTTTGGGTGAGAGTGCTGTTAGCGAGCATCTATTAAGTCCTGCACAGCGAATTGAGGTGGTGAGCACCACGCCTATTTTCTGATGTTTACACACCACACCAGGCTATGTGAGAATGATTCAATTATCACATTATATATATACACATACAATAGTTAAAATGCAGAGATCCCAATGGAATCAGAGTCTATTCCACACCTGGTGGATGTAATTCATGTAGCCAACACTCACACACGGACATGGACACAGACGACAAATGCAGATACACATATGCGTGTGAAATTCTGCCAGATCCCATCTCTTTCAGGCTCTCCTTATACATTACATACGTAGACTACGTCCATGTGTAATGTGTGTCTTTGCCTTGCACTTCGATGTGTGTGTTATGATTACGCTTGTTCACCCTTGAAAGCCTCACCGAGTCTCAAGACCTTCTTCAGGAGGGTCCTGCCAGGTGTTTGCAGTAGTGGGGGTACTAAATTGCGAGTCGTTCCTGAGAATTTGGCAAATTTGGATCATGACACCGGCACACAATGCCCTGCTATTCTTCGCATTATCTCAGAGGATATTTCACGTCCACTAATGGTTAATGCACCCGCAGTTGTGTGAGGGTGAACATTTATTTCAATCAATGAACCAATCAATGCTTCGTTTACCTGCTCACAAAGCACCGAAACCCTGCGTGAGGAATGATCCTGCTGAAGATTCCAAGTAAGTATCGCCATCTGACGGAGAGACTGACTTGTCTTTGTAGCTTGACTGATATTAAATTTGTTTTTGAGAGGGAAGATGAGGGTTCGGGTGGAGGGGTGAGATGGCATGGTGGACGGAGGGTTTTGGGGATAGAGAGGGTACGGATAATTGTGTTGGGGGAGGTAAAGCAGAAATTAGGGACTGAGGGGAGGGGGAATGGGCACAGAAGGTCAAAGGCAGTTTGGGTGATTGGGTGGAAGAGGGATATGCGGGGAGGGGCTAAAAGGCAGGATATGTTTAGGACGACAAAGGGGAAATCATATCACTTATGGTCCATTCCAGTGAAGCAAGAATTCCAGATGAATGCTGCATTTTGTCCATTATGAATCCTGTGCTGGTGATCTGGCTCGTTCTGGCCGTGACACAGGCTGCTATGGGTGAGTAGCTCTAAAGGTTGTCTGTTTTGTGTTGTTGTTTACTGATGTGTGGGTTTAGTCAAGGTAACTGAATTGTGAAGACACTACAGCATTACACAATATATGATTTTGTAGATATATACATGTATACGCAATGCACAGTAGCGTGCATATCTATTCAAACTCAGATTTCGCTGTTTGTTGCTGGCTACTTTGTGTATTGAGCATTGGTTCCTGAGCTCAGCAACTGTTAATAAAAACACCCAAGATACCGTTGCAAATACTTTACGTAAATGGGTGAAAGATTATCCCATCATGTCCTTGGTATCAATAAAATATAGACCAAACCATAGAAACGTGGAATTCCTACCATTGGCTTGGGAATGTAAACATGGGATGAACATTTATGATGCACCCTGTATAATGATTATATCATTGCTTTGCAGTGTACTTTACTGCCGAGCGCTGTATTCTGTTTTCATTATTGCCCAAGAAAGCTTCGCTGAGTTTCATGACGTTTTAAGGAGGTTCCCAATATCTTGTTTGCCGCAGGGACTAATTAAAATTGCTATAATCGGACAAAAGGGACCACAATGTAGTTCTCCAGGAACCGATGCACGTTTTTGCGTAATGCACAAGGACACAGTCATTGCTTTTTGTTCGCATTTTTGCGTGTGGTTTGCAGCTACATAATTGCTATGTAGAGTCCAACTTAAAATATTTATCTTAACGGGTTGTTGATCTTGTTGTTAACGAGTGCATCCTTCTCCAACGCACCACAGAGGGCAGAATTACTACGAATTTGAAACGACTGCTGGAACCAGAAGCAACCGACGTCAAATTACCGTGTCTCATCGACGGTGACTCCACGGGCTACACTGGTCTGAGATTGGAGAAGCGTGACGAATTGGTGAGACAGTAAGCGTGCCTGCGTGTCTGTCGAGGCTCATGAATGATGCCAGTGGGTATATCGTAACTCCCACCACCAGAACCAGTGCAAAGCATGCAGGATGAATCAACATACATTTGTCTAGTTACACGGGGGGTCGGCTACCTACGGCCAGAGGATCGCAAACGGGTTTTGATTCCTTACCCGTACCCGTACCCGGCCGCACCCTACCCGAAATGAGTGACAAACGGTTACTCACCAGTGACTCACGGCCTTACCGTACCCGGCCGCACCAAGGTCGCAGCCGGGTATCGGGTAGGGTACGGGTATCGGGTACCCGGTTGCGACTTCTGCCTACGGCTCTGGAGCTAAACGCGGCTCGGGCTGCATTGCGGCTCTTGAAATATTATGGGGTTGTTTTTTTACCGAATTGGAAAAAAAATTGACTCTTGTTATTCTTTTGGTTGCCGACTCTTGGTCGAGTTACAAACGGGTCAACCCACACTGCAAGAGAAACGTTCTACCACACTCAATAGATATGAAATCGACAATACAAGGCCATTATTCTTTATGATTGACAATACGCTCAATTCGATTTTTTAAATGCTATTTATAAATTATACGGACAAAATGTAGGACTTAATAACGTGTAATAGTTTATTAGTATTTCACGTTTACACTGCTCACAGAAGGATTGACAATGCCAGGTGGTTTAAAATAACCAAGTGGTTGTGATGGGGGCACAATTCTAGTTCAATTTTGACCATTTTCCGATGTTAACCCAAACCTCCTGGGTCTGTGCCATGACTTATCAGCGATCCTTCGCCACTAGGATGTGTTCTTTGGCCCATACGTGCTGTCTTACTGCGGTGGCATTCTCACCAGTGGTAGACTCGTTGGCCTGTGGTCACATTGGCGACATTACATGTTGGCGGCCTGCTGTACCTGTTTGATGCTATGCTTCAATTTCCTTACGTTCATGGTTGAAGCACTTCTTTTCAGAATTGAGAGTTGCGGGTTTGTGATAGTTTTGGAGCTATGTTTTAATTGGAGGTCACTTATTTGGGCATCATCTTTAGTACGCACCGCTCCTCTTTGGGTCCAAACCCCCTCCTCCTTAGGCTCCATCGCCTCTTATTTAGGCCAGGTACTTTTACTTTTCTCGTCCCACTCCTTACTCTAGACAGGGGCTTGAACTTGTTCTGGGTGTATTTCTACAGGCAGTGTTGCTTTTTTTTCCCCCACGAGACATGGCAACTCGAAATTAAACGATGTTTTATTTTAGCAGGTAAGGCCCACTGAGCTATACAGCTCTTTGTCAGAAGCGACCTGGTCATAAATGATAGCTCAACGAAGGGGCTTATCACGTGGAAAGATATAATATCCAAATACTCTAAACTTGTGTTTCTAAACGTGGAGGGGAAAAAACCAGAGGACCTGGAGAAAATCCTACACGACTACGGGGAGAACATGTAAACTCCAAGCATACAGGCGTCAGGGGTTGAGCTAAAGACAAGTTGATTTGAGTGAGGCAGCTTGAATGTGTAATGGTGGGGGTTGTGGATGTGGTTGAGAGTGCGCAGAAATGGTAGTGGTGGGTAGGGTGGCTTTACGACGGCCAAAAACCCTCTTGGAGCAATAGAAGAGACAGACGATAACGTTATATGGTATTATTGCGAGGTCAAATAAAACCATGAGAGGCAAGACAATCCATGCATCATATGGAGCAGTGGTACAATTTCGTGAACTGCACTACAACCTAGACATCTGGTTGCAATTATATCTTAACTATACCCGTCGCCCAGGTTAACTCAGTCGTGAGTTGCTGCTGTGTGCAGACATCAGCACTGGGGGTGGATACACAGTCAGGTAGCCAGCCATGGGCCTGGCGAGTACATGGACCCCTTCATTCATTAGGCTTGCTCACAACTCGCTGCATAGATGATTTTTGTTTCTGTGCGTGTATGCAGAGCTACATTCCAACGGACAGCGATGGTTTTACGCTCCGTAATGTAACTCCAAACGACAGTGGCTGGTATGTCTGCACGGCAGAATTTGGTGGGAGAACAAAGACCTCTAAGCCAATTCGACTGGACATCTACAGAGGTGAGATGCGATCAACAATAAGATGAAGTGTCCCTCAGCCTCTGTGGCCTCACAATGGCAGTGTTAGAGCTCTGAACCAGAACTGAAAAGATGCTGGGTTCGTGTCTGACCATTGAGAGCATCTCTCTCAGGGCCTCACAACGGCCCAATCGGGGAACTGAGAAAAAACCACGACAATATCATCTGCCATGAGCAGTCCACTGCTGAATGTAGATCTCACTAAGCCATGACTATATTTGATTATCCTGAAAGTAACAATCCACATGGCACCTGCACATGCGCTGATATAGTATCTCCCTCTCCCTGGTTGGGCACATTTCCTCCCTTGGCTGTCACTCCATCATTATACCGTCAGCCCTTCTAGCGACATGTTTTGCCCAGGCCCACATTTTAACATTAAAAAGCATTTCCTCACCATGCGTATATTCTTTAATCCATGTACTTTCCTTCGTCTGATTTCATAGCCCCCTCCATTCTTTCAGCGTATCCTTAACTATGTAGACATCGCTGGTGCACTTCTCTCTTGGTTCCGCTCGTACCCTCTAAATTCCTCCCGACGTTATAGCTCCTCTTTCTAGGCAATAGCATTTCCAGTTTAAATGTCAACCATCACTTCAAAGCCAACACCAAGTTCGATATCACCATTGCATCTACACAACTTCACTGTCTACTCTCCCACCTTAACTTGACACGGTCTCATCTTGGATTGGTTGTAACTTCCTCTCTATTAATGTTGCCAAAACTGTAATATTTGTCATCAGCAAAGAGTCTAAACTGGGTAACGACTACAGATTACACCGAAGTTAAAGTTTTTAATATTGGTGATCCTTCACGGGACTTCCTTTGCCAGTACCAAAATATGAGAAGGGTTTTTCCCCTTTTTTCTGGCAACGAAACAGGTGTTAAGATGTTAAAACACCAAACTGAAACCTTTAGCAAGGAATCATGTCTGCAGTAACCACAATACTTGTGGTCGGAATGAAAAAAAATATATACTCTGATAATATATGCATTGTCTTTGAAACGAATTGGTCCACGCCAGAGACAGCTTTCAAAGACAATGCACATACTGTCAGAGCATGTTTTTTCGTTTGCATTTTCAGTATATGTGGTTAATGCAGACATGATTCCTTGTAAAAAGGTTTCAGTTTGGTGTTTTAACATCTTAACACAACCGTTTTACTGCCAGAAAGGGGAACCCCCTATTATATAATAATTACTACTGGCAAAAGAGGTCTGATGATGGGTAGCCTTATTATTTTGTACAGAGGCGCCGGGTTTGAATCTAACTTCCAGCTCCCATGACAATGCATTGCCAGGAGCATCGTCACGCAAGTTCATCTTAACACCTGTTTTGTTGCCAGAAATAAAAGGGGAAAACCTATTCTCATTGGTGATCCTGTGGTTGGTGATGTTGATGGTGGTGTTTGTTGTATGTCCAGTGCCTCGCCATGCTCCCAAGGTCTTCGTGAAACTCAACTCTCCTTTCCGCTTGGTTGGGGAGCGCTTCTGGGCTGAGTGCATTGGCCGCAATGTAGACATGAAATTTAATGTCGAATGGAACATTTCAAACTCTGCGGTAAGAGTTTTTTTTTCATATACATTGTTTAAAAAAATTGTAAGTTTGGACTTTCGCAAAATATGTAACATTTGTTCTGCGGGCATCATGTCATAATTAGCAAGCTCTATCACGATGCTTAGGAAGCTGCTTTAATCACAGACGACTGAAAACCTGAATTCAAACACAGGCTCTCAGTGATTCGTTGCTGTGACCCTAAACTACCCAGCCACTTTTATTTTGGATGTTTTAAATAGCTAAAGATACGAGTCCCACAATAGTATCAAGATTATACAAGTGGCAACATTTCACGTTGTCGTGTCAGAGAATGGGCTCAAGTGGTTTGGCCTGAAGAATTACATAAGACCTAATTAATCTACTATCCATTATACAAGTTTATCACGATATACAATGAAACTAAATTATACATACCTAATTAATTTTGTAAAAGTAAATTGTAATGAATTTCAAAAGTTTCAGGAGGTGGCTTTGTGGCTCAGGGGTAAGTTCAATGCGTCGCCAATGCTAACTGGGTATGAATCTGGGTTTGTGAGTTTAGCTTGCCCAATAAAATCGGCACAAATAGACAAAGCAAAATTGTCTGTGACTTAATACTACAAAATTTCAGTCCAGAGAATTTAACGAATATTAGTTTGACTGTTTCCATAGCAGGGCATGTGGGAAGTGTATATAAATACAAATATTTTTTATTGTAAGGCATTTTGGTAGTATTTCTGTAATATCTGTTTCCGCAGGCCATTCTAAAAGACACATGTTGATGCACTGCTTTGCAAGAGTTCTGAATGAATACATTTCATGACATTCCACCAAAAACACAATTGTAATTTGAGAAAATGTGTTTTGTGTGTGTGTGCAGCTCTTTGTCCACACCAATTCTTCCGATGTCGATACAACGGACGCCATCAAGACGCTGCGTGTCTCGGCTGCGCAGACTGAGCTGAGACAGGCTGGCAACTTCACCTGCATCGCATCAAGCCACTTGGGCAAAGCCCAGTTTGGAGCAACGCTCACAGTCCTGGGTAATGCGCAGTGCCAGTCATGGCCAATGCACCAAATGGCACTCCCAAGGAACGGTTGCTCGGCGAGCTTGTGATGGCCACATCTGAGCACTGAGCTCAGCACCACCGTTTTTTTCTAATTGGGCCAACAATGTAAGATTGAAGCAGGTTCCTATGTGCATCCAGAGTAGTGGTATCCAATTGATGATCCAGCACTCACTGATTCCTTCCATTCATAAACTCACTAATAGTCAAACACCCCCTCATCATTGTTCTATCGCTACCACGAAGACCAGTGGGGTGGGGGGGGGGGTAATGCATCAACATACATAATGTATGTACATCACGTATGCGCATTATGCCTGGACATTATGTATGTACGTTCTGCCGTTTTTGGGTGAGAAAAATCGCACTACCTGTTATTGGCTGCTCACAGTTAATCGCCATCGACGTATGAATAGGCATGCAGTTAAACAGGGTATTCTTTGATAATACGCTTTCAAGTCAATTATCATAATACGCTTATGGAAGCGTATTATGATGTACATGTGCATGCATAATGTGCATCCGTTATGTACATACATTGCGTATGTTGCGTAACTGTTAATAACCCAATTAATTAACCATCCCCCCCTAGTCTTCGCACCTTACAAGTGACGACACACCCTCGATTTAAAACCGAATCAGGAGAATTTCTCCACAACTCTGGCTGTCGCCTGATGAGGCTGGTTGTAATTATTCTAATTGTAAATGTTGTGGGTTAACTCTCCAACACACCGGTGTGCTGAACTAGTAACGAATTGGTATGTTTTGTTTACGTGGCAAACCTTACTAACTGGCTGTGTCTTGTGGTGGTGGTGGGTTTAACGACACATTAGTACAGGTAGGAACAACAGTTGCACACTGCCCACCAGGGATTATTTGTCTGTCGTGCATAGCCCCTCCCAAACATGTACGCTCCCGGATTTGTTGAAGTGCGTCACGTGACCGCTAGCTTTCTGTCGTGCACGAATGCGCTGTCCAACCAAATTCTTACCTTCTTCTTGGTTCTTTCGGTAAAGTCACGTAGAAGGAAAGTAATAAAATAATTAAAATAATGGAAGGGGGGGGGGGGAAAGGCGCCCCTTTCCCCCCCCCTTCCAACCCAGCTTATATATATGCTCCAAGCACGTGTGCTGTTTCATTCAGACGCTGTCGCCTCGACAGACCTGGTTTTCACCTGAGGATGGCTGCTTGCATTGTGGCCGAAACGTCGTAAGAATTATTTTATTATGTTTAATTTTTATTATTTTATTATGTTTAATTTTTATTATTTTATTACTTCACTTCTACGTGACTTTACCGAAAGAACCAAGAAGATGAATCCCTGCAGTCACGAAAACTTTAAATCGAAGTTCCTACCTGCCCACTCCGAAGGAACGTGTTATTTACGAGATCTAACCGAAAAAAACCCTCTTATGGATATGGGTCGCGAAAGCCGACGTGTTAAACAGACTTTTCCTTTATTGTCCCGTCTTAATGATCTAATGACGTAGTCTGCTGCAGGATCAGTGTCGCAGAGATTGCTTTCATGAGGTCCCTCGTTGTCTTCGAGATGGCCCCTGAGGAGGACTCAGAGGACGTTCGGCCTCGCTCCCGATCCTTTGTCTTGGCCCGTACTCAGTCCATGCTGATCCTGGGAGTCTCGGTCAATGTCATGCTGTTTGGCCACACAGTCGCTGACTAAGCTCACGCACTTGCAGTGGAGTAGCTAGACTTGGCCTCGCCAGCAATTTCTTATTCTTTGGAGTGACTGACTCCTTGAATGTGAGTGCAGTCCTTCAGCAACTGTAGCAGCATTCCCCGTGTTTGCTCGGTTTAACGGCTCAACTGGTGAGTGGTTGCAGCCATTGGTGGAGGCATCGTTTTCAGAACGACCACCACGCGGTTCTGCTCCAACGTGGTGGTTGTTTCTCCTCTCTCCCTCTCCCGCGCCTCATCCTCTAACGTCTCTTCTCCCGCTCACGTGCCTGACCCCTCACCAAATGTCCCCTGTGTAGTTCCAGCATTGGCGTGGTTAACCCACGCCCCCTGCAGGATTTATATTATGTATCCAGACAGTCCTCGATTTACGATCACCGACTTACGAACACCCTGGAATACAAACCAGCGTCTGTGTGTGTGGGGAGCGGTGGTGGAGCGGTTAGCGCTACGCTGCGCTACGAACCTGGTGACCCAAGTTCGATTTCCGCTGACGGCCAACACCCAGTAACGATTATCTGAACTGGACCTAGGAATCACCCTAGGTCGACTGAGCCTCAAATGAGTACCTGGTGTGGTGCGTCAATTTCACCAATGGGGAGACAAAGGCGGCCGGGCGTGGTGCTTCCCACCCACCCCCTCGTGTGTCGTACCGGCCTTCATAGGTGCTCGCAAACAGCACTTGCTCCTACAGTCTGTTAAGGCTATATGGGGGATCTTTGTCTTGTGTGTGTGAAAGTGAGTGTGTGTGTGCGTATGTGGGGGGAGCGGTAGTACAATAGTTAGCACACCCTGCTACGAACCTGGCGACCCGAGTTTGATTCCCGCTCAAGACCAACACCAGTTACGATTATCTGAATGGATCCTGGGCCTCCCCTAGGTTGACTCAGCCTCAAATGACTACCTTGTGCGGTGTGTAAACATCGCCACTGGGGAGACAAAGGCGGCCGGGCGTGTTGCTGGCCACCCACACCCTCGTGTGCCGTGCCGGCCTTGATAGACGTTGCTCGCTAACAGCACTTGCCCCAACAGCCTGTTCAGGCTACACGGGGGATCTTTGTCGTCAGTGTGTGCCCCGTGTGTGTCTGTCTTCATGTCTTTTATATAATACAGTTATTTTTAGTGTTACATGCAAATCTACAATGTTTCTTCTTATTTATTAGTTTTAAAATGCTTCCCTTTTTTGTTGATCCGTAACACATTTCATAAACACTGACCGTTTGGGCATTTAAATACAATCAATTGTTCTTACGACCTCGTTTGACTTAATAACGTGTCTCTTGAAGCTAATTGTGTTCGTAAGTCGAGGACGGTGGTTATAGGCTCGCTCCGTCACCACACTGACACTCTTGTCTCATCTGTACTGTGTTCAACCACCACATTGCCGGTCAAAACACTTATTTACATTGTAATCAATGCACATTTGTTTTGTTACGAAATATCACGTTAAGGTGTTACTGTCAGTCATATTATAAGTGTAACAATTCAAACCAAAGCCCCTCCCCAGGCAATTTTAGTATCACTCTTTGGTTCTTTCGGTAAAGTCACGGAGGTAGAGTAAATAAAATTAAACAAAACACGACGTTTCTGGCGCAACACAAGCGTTCGTCATCAGGCGGGGACACCAACAGAGAAAACAATTGCTAAAGTATTTTCTCTACCTATGTGACTTTACCGAAAGAACCAAAGAGTATGGATCCTTGCAGTCACGAAAACTTCAAGTCTAGAATGATTTTATTATTAGTTAATAAATTACAATTTTGGTGACCCAGGTTCTTCTCACAAATGAACCAATCCTTGTCTCTTGGGTTCTCACCTGGTTCAACAAACTAAACTTAACACTTGAAACTTATTAAACTTGAGCGGGATGCTGCTGCTGTGGCATCTGGTGGCGTTTTCAGAGAAAGGCTTTCTGAGACTGTCGCAATTGGGTCAAGACCACAAGACGGAGGTGGCGCCTGGAGAGGACGTCTCCCTGGCGGTGCAGATGGACGCGTACCCAGCTCCCACGGCCTGTGCTTGGAGGCACATGAACCGGACACTGAGCGAGGATTGCGGGGATGGGTAACCTAACCACGACTGCCACACCTGTCTGCGTCACCCCCATGTGACTTGCATTAGAATCATCTACATCAGCGCTACAACTTTTGCATTAATCTTCATCAACATGTTGGCGATGACAATGATGGTGCTAGTGATGATTATGGCACTGGTGATGATGGTGATAACGATGATTGTGAAAATGGTGGTAATGGTGGTGACTGGCAGAGCCAGACTGAACCCCCCTCTTGGGGTTCCTCCAGGAACAGGAGACTACTGCGATTAACCACGTGGAATGTTCATATTCTCATTGCGGATTAGAGGCTGCTACTCCTCTGTTGGGAGATGGATTGGTACTGCCTGGATTTCTGTATAATACAGGAGGTCCTTTTGACCGGTTCTGGCTCCAGTCATCATGAGGAGTGGACAGTTTTACATTCTGGACAGGAAACTGCCAAACAACAGGGAGTAACACTTCTTTTGAACACAAGAATGTAGGAGCGTGGTGATGAGGTGTGGGAAATTGTAAGTCCCAGGTCGCTATGCGCTCACCTCCCCGTCAACAAGAGGAATGGAATGGTGGTGGTTGCTTATGCCCTCACTTATGATGAATATCAGTGGAGGGATGCAGACAAGGCCAATGAGTCAGACGCTTTCTATAACTTCCTGTCCCAGGTGCAGGCTAAAGTGACCCCTTGGGATCCAGTCATCCTGTTGGATGAATACCTGATTGGATCATGATGCAGACACCTGGGTCAGAGTGATTGAAAGATATAAGCCGCATTAGCTCAATAATAACCGTAGGAATCTGCTAGACTTCTGTGCAGCCCATGGCCTTGTAATAACCAACACGCTGTTCCGGCATTGGGGCATCCATACATTATGGATGCATGACAGGTCCAAGCAAGAACATTTACTGGACTACATAGTGACGGACTAGCGGATGTGGGCCCATGTCCTTGATACCAGGACCTACCGTAGAGCTGATCTACCCACTGAACATTCAGGCCGGCCTGAATGTTTCTAATCAGGCTGGATTGTGTGAGGAGCTTACAAATCCTTGAAAGATCTGTACACATTCCCATCGGTAAACTGCTTCGGCAGGCAATGCTGCATTGGCTGGGTTATATAGCCCGCATGCTCAGTCCACCACATGTCCAAGCAGCTTCTGTTTGGCTGGATAGAGGGAGCTAAACGGGTACGACATGAGTTGGAGAAAAGATGGACTAATGCGGTATGGAAGGATGTGGAGCTGAGTGGACTTGCCGAAGACTGGTACTAGCGGTATCAATATCGGTCTCTATGGAGGAGGCTCGTGAAGGATGCTACTGGTCAGTTTGAGGCAGTCGCCCTCCAACAACAACGAAGGGCAAAGGAGCGATGCTCAAAATTAGAAGAACGCCAAGTGGATAAAATGCAGCAAGTTGGCACAGTAGGCGGCACAGGGGTGCATCTGCCAGTCATCTCAGTCAGTCAACCCATGGCACCTGGGTCTGTCCCGTGACCTCCTGTCAACGAGCCTTCTACACTTCACGTAGCCTCAGTGCACCTGGTCTGACCTGGCCTGGCACAGGCGCCCTGGTGATGTCACCGCCACTTAGTGGCAAATGGCGGATGTTTTTGTTGATGGTGGTGATTGTGATCATGGTAGTAACGATGCTTGTGAAAGCAATGTTTATCGTAATAATCGTAATGGTTTGGGTTATGATGGTGATATTTAAGGTTGTTCCCGGTGAATATGGTAATGTGATTTTAATGGCAGTGTAATTACGGTTTATGGTAGTGAATAGGAAAGGAGCGAATCCGAATCTGGATTTCGATGTATTTGCTTTCGTCCAATGCTTTTTCAGTCTATGAAGGCTTGGCACAATGTTATTTGAAAATCTTTGGTAATTTCCAGAATCTGATTAATAGTTTCTGGTTGATGGGAGAGAAACATTTCCTAAATCCTGCTTGCAAACGGAGTGGATTTTCAACTACATTTTTGTTATTATCTGCCAATGATCTTCGTGAACAATGTGTACATGTGCAATAAGAGCCTAATAGGCCTGCAGTTCTAGTCAGGTGTATCACTCTTGTTGAATAGAACAAGAATTGATGCATCATTTAATTATTGTGATCTTTCATTAATGTTTAAATATTTAATAAATGTCTGCTAATTTAGTCCAGGCTCCACAGTTTTGATATTTAGTTCAGGGGCTGTGCCCTTTACAACTGTGTTTCCAAACAATTTAGAACAATTGAACAGCTGTACTAATATTGCATGAAGGATGTATCAAAATACATATTACATGGGGAGTCAGATAGGATATTTTCCTAAAATTGTATTGGAAAAATAAAGGCATAAATGTGAATGGAGAAAACATTCCCATGATTATAGCACATGATGTTAGCGATGATGATGATGAAAGTCATCTTCTTGGTTCTTTCGGTAAAGTCACGTAGAAGGAAAGTAATAAAATAATAAAAATAAAACATAATAAAATAATTCTCACGACGTTTCGGCCACAACGCAAGCAGCCGTCCTCAGGTGAAGACCAGGTCTGTCGGGGAGACAGCGTCTGAATGTCACCTGAGGACGGCTGCTTGCGTTGTGGCCGAAACGTCGTGAGAATTATTTTATTATGTTTTATTATTTTATTACTTCCCTTCTACGTGACTTTACCGAAAGAACCAAGAAGATGTATTCCTGCAGTCACGAAAGCTTTAAATCGATGATGATGATGATGGTAGTGTCGATGAGGGTGCTGATGTTCATGATGATTCTTATGATGACACACAGGCGCTTGGTGTCCTTGCTGGTGCGGGACGTCAGAGGGGCCCAGTCTGGGATCTACTCGTTCTATGCCAGTCACCGCTACGAGAACGCCAACATCTCCTTCCCAATACTTGTGACCGGTAATACCAGTGGCCATTACCACCACCATGAACATCAACACCAAATATCGTCATGAGAACAGAAATCTTCGTGACTACCTACACTATTCTCTTTGCTATCATTATCACCACCATCATGGTCATCGTAACCATCATTTTCATCGTAATTTTAATCTCATAGCAACAACATCAGAAAGAAAAACTAATTTCAATTACCACTGTTGTCGTCACATCATCAGAATCAGCATTGACATATACTGTACCGTGCAACATCATCATCACTAGCGCCACCATCACAGTCAATGTCAGCAAGTCCAGGTTTAATGCCAATGCTTGACTTTATCTCTTCTGTTAAGTGTGTGCATTTCATGCTTTTTTTAATTTACACTGGTTTACCCAGAAAAGTCTCACCGAATCTCGTGACAATTTTTCAGGAAGATACTGCCAATTGTCTCCAGTAGGGGGGGCGCAATGATTGTTATGTCGATTCCAGTTGCTTAATATGAAAATATTCTTTGAAAAATTCCTACACCGAAGCCTCCTCAATGTGCATGCCATCCTATTTGTCCAGCATCTTGAAATGTAGTTGCATTCAGATACATTATCTAATTTTCGCCCATCTGAGTGAGACACTCAGAGATAATTTTAGGGATCAAAACACAGCCGTCACTGCTGTGAGATGCTGGGTTTACGTTTGGGTTTCAGCTGCCTGTGATTAAACCAGGTTCTCAAGTGTAATTCGTTTTTGTTTCAACCCTGGTCACCAAAAAGTTAACCAAAACCCCTATGATGAAAAAAAAAATTCGGCTTTGCCCTTTCCAGCTGGAATACAGATATTAAGATGCTCAAACACCAAATAGACAACCATCACAAGGCAAGTCTGCATTAACCACACATTTTTGTGGTAAAACATGCCAACATGGTTTGATAATGTATGCGTTGTCCTTGACACTGAAACAACACCATCGTATTTTGTTTTCACTTTGGCCAAAGTTGTGGGAATACATTTTTTTTGCTTAACTGCGATGAATATGTCTCTATAGCAGAGTATGGAAAAACAACCCTCGCAGTGTGTGCAGAGAAAAATGTCGCTTGACTGGATCTTTCAAATAGTTGTGGGATATCTGATTTTGTGTGCCATTCTCTAAATACAGAATAATGCATTGTTCTGCATGAGTTGTGGATGGAAAATTAATCTCATGGTAATAGGAAACAATATTTAACTTACGAATTCAGTTGATGCGGGCTGAGTGCTCTGACCCAGTTTCTCAAGGCAGCAATGTTGCTGTTTATGTGGCTGTCTACGTTGTGATTGGTGTCATGAATTTTAAAAGCAGTGAGCAGCAGTGCAGTGGAATGTATACTGCCTCACAGTCTCAGAGAACCAAGTTCACGTCCTCGCCCTGATACACAAAGCCGGTAGAAACCGACATTTGAACCTTGCCTGAGCATCCCTTAGGTCAGCTCAGCCTAAAATGACTACTCTGTATGATGTGTGCCATATAAGCACCAGGAAAAGGGCACCTGGATATGGTGGTTTATTTCACTAAAGGAGAGTGTTTTTCGGTGTCTGTGACAGAGCGTCCTCGTGATGTGAGTCTCAAGGTGGTCGGGGAGAACACGGCCGAGTGTACGGCATGGGGACATCCTCTCCCCAACATCTCCTGGATCATCTGTGAGGGCCTGCATAATAATGGGTGGGTCCATAAACAACACCATGATTAATAACAATGTCATCATCACCTCCACAACATCTCCTGGATCATATATGATAGGGGTCGCCAATCTGTAACAGACCAAGAGCCAAAAAGTACCGATGAGTTCTGCAAAGAGCCATGTGTTTTCGGTACAACACGGGAGACATTCATTATTGTTTGCTACTGCGATAGTATGGTCCCTTCAATAGAGCCGTATGTGGTGGATTAAATAGCCGCACGCAGCTCGGGATACACCAGTTGGCCACCGGTGATCTATGATGATTGCCCTAAAATTGTCCTATGTGTATTATAGTTTTCGTGCGAAACAGGGGGGAAGTTGAGTTGCTTATTCAGTGTGTGTGTGCGTGAATGTACACGTGGTGTGCAGGTGTTCAGGCAGAACCGGTCCCTCTCCACTGGAAGCAGATGTGAGCCACGAGCGTGCAGGCCTCACCGTGGCTCGTTCTCAAGTGACTCTACCTTCTTTGTCGGGCAACCTTACACTTATGTGCCACGCGCACAACCAGCTGGGCGAGGCCAACGCGTCGCTACCCGTGGCTCTGCATGGTACTGAGTCGTGACACTGGTGATGATTATAGGCGCTCAACAATACATTCTAGATTTGAACCATTCGTGACTGCAAGGATTCATAGTCTTAGGTTTTTCGGTAAAGTCACGTAGGTAAAACATTAAAATGAATAAAAGTAAAATAAAATAAAAATCACGACGTTTCGGAGGCAACACAAGCTTCCGTCTTCAGGTGGAACCGTCACAGCCACGACAGCTGTATCAAGTAAATGAGAGATTACAAGAGCTACCACTCCGTATATATAATGGTTGGAGAGGGGAAGGGCCAAGTAAGGCACACTTTTTATTAATATGGTAAGGTGAGGCTTAAGACTAAGACTATTCTTAGTCTTAGACTATAAGGTGAGGCTTAAGACTAAGACTATTCTTACCATATTAATAAAAAGTGTGCCTTACTTGGCCCTTCCCCTCTCCAACCATTATATATACGGAGTGGTAGCTCTTGTAATCTCTCATTTACTTGATACAGCTGTCGTGGCTGTGACGGTTCCACCTGAAGACGGAAGCTTGTGTTGCCTCCGAAACGTCGTGATTTTTATTTTTATTTTATTTTACTTTTATTAATTTTAATGTTTTACCTACGTGAATTTACCGAAAAACCTAAGAATATGCTCAACAATACAGTTTAAGATCGTAAGGTGTGCGTCAAGTTACGCGAATATGAATTGCACAAATGGAAAGTAAAAACTCTGGTCACCCAAAACAGACCATGGGACATTTGACAACTCGATGCCTAGCTCACAAAATTTAAGGAGGCATCATTATAGCGATGCACTCCGCTGATGCAATCATCTGGCTCAACCATCTGAGTGTAAAATTCTAGTTGTTGCTTTACATCAACATCAGCCATACAAAATTTGATTTATATAATTAGTTCTACAAGCCAATGGCACTACTTCATTCACCACAGTGCCTCAGTGGTGTAAGTTGTTTTGTTTTGCTTATTGTCATTTCGGTGACTATTGCAAATTAAATTGTGGTGGGCTGTTGAGTTCACACTTAGTTAAACAAAATCTAATTCTGACGTAGGAGTGACTCACAATCAGAAGGTTGCGAGTTCTAATCCCGGTTGGGGTTGTTGAAATGAGTATCACTTTGTGGTAATCCCCCTTGTCCTCCTGTTTCATCTGAACCCACACACTCTTACCATGTGGACTCCATCCCCTCGTCCTCCTATTTCATCTGAACCCACACACTCTTACCATGTGGACTCCCTCCCCTTGTCCTCGATATTTTCCGTTACCACCACTGTTCTCGAGCCCGTGTGTTTCCCTGGAGTCTCCCTTATCTATGGTCCTCTAGTCCCATCCTTATTGAACCCTCCCTGTGCCCCACCCCTCTATGCCATGGATTACCTTATCGGTGCCCTTCTCTGTATCAGTGGGGAGATTTCAGGGAGTTGTGGCACCAGCTGCGGCAGGAATGCGCTCAGTGCTGGAGTTGTCGATTGTCTCGGGCCTAGCTGTGGTGCTGCTGGTCGCGTCTGCTCTGATCGCCTTCAAATACAGACAGGTGGGCATGTGTGTGCGTGCATACATATATGAGCACGCGTGGCGAAACATAGTCATAATTAAGCCACAATAAATTAATCCCTCATGTTCTTGTGAGGCCATGATCCATTTTTTTTCCTGCACATCAGCTAAGCTCATCACTCCATCACTGTGGTGGTTGTCTCCCAAATTTGTTCGTTGTGTTAGTTGATATTCCACTGCCGGTATCATCCATTTGTTCTCATCGCTATTTATATGCCCTGGTCAAGGCCCATGAATTTAAGTCAATGTTTCGAATTTTCTTTTGATTTCTGAACCACGTGATCCTTTGTATATCTCTCTAGATAATTCCCAGGATGTATCTCTCCACACTTTGCACACTTTTCAGTTGTGTAAAGAAGCATGGACATGGTCCTTAATGTTAGAAAATATTTTACAAAAGCCAATTAGCTTAATATACAGGTGCATCCACACACACACTTACATATACTCACATAAACACACATACCCCATATGCACTCTGAAGTGTGCACGTAAATATTTTCAAAACCAATATCTCTAATTGCTTTCAGAGATCAGGTTTTGGGATCAAAGTTTCAACTAAAACCAGACTTTGGTGCTGAGTGCAAATATCTATCTTATAACTCAGCCTAAACATATTTCAGTTGTGTTGCTTCAACAAACATCCTCGTTGCTTTGCGAGCTAGTTGAGCATGACCTTTGTCTTGTTCCTCTTTACCCTGAGCCCAATGTGCAGTATTTTGTCCAGTTCTTCTAACATTTGCTGTCGGTCATTTCCCTTTATGATGATTCCATCGACAGCAAAAGCTAGATGGTGAATGTTTTCCCCATTAAAATGCATCTTTTGTTTCTCCAATTTCGACTTTTGGAAGAAACATTGTCTAATGTCACTGTGAATCATTTGACGAAGAGAATGTTACCTTGCATGTCTCCCTGTTTCACAGTTTGTCATAACTGGCTGTTAGCAGTTATTTTCGACTCTCTGATTTAACATTAACAGGTTCACACTAACAAAGCCGCCGTTTACATTGACATGCTAATCTCTTACATTGACAGGTTAATATATCTCACTTTAACATCACTAGCCCTGCCCACTGCGTTTATGACCCTTGGGCTACACCCATTTAAAACCTTTAATATAGCCTGCCTCTGCAGCTTTCCCCCCTCTTTTTAATCCTTTATATTAAGTTCGCTTGCTTGCGTGCTTGCTTACGACCGTGCAAATCTTTCGGTCGTTTTTTAACCCACTTTCCCGTGATCCAATCGAGCTGACATTTTGCAAACAGACTCGTTGTGCGAGACAATTAATGTTCGTGAAAATTTTTTTCTAAAATGTTACACTGTTTAGGAAAAACAAATTAAATATTTAATTACCAATTGTTTAATACTGGCAGACAATCATCTGACCCATAGGTGGCAGCCATCTCAAGCCAGAGGATGAGAGGACTCTAGCCGCCACACATATAAAGGATTTATAGTGAAAAACTTTGTTTTTACGGGTTATACTTGTTTCACCTGATGACGATTGCTTGTGTTGCGATCAAAACGTCGTCATATTTTTATTATTTTTTATTCACTTTATTTCCATTTCTATTATTGTATTATTTTATTGTTCCATCTACGTGACTTTACCGAAAGACCCAAAGAATATAAATGCAGGAAAAGTGATAGTCTTCTACCGCCTGAGATATGCTGGTTATGAAAATTGCACAATAATGTTTTCCAGCGGCCGAGGTACGAGATCCGCTGGAAGATTGTGGATGGGAGTACAGAAGGAAACCCTTACACCTTTCTGGACCCAGCCCAGCTGTCGTACGACCCCCGCTGGGAGCTTCCCAGAGATGCGCTCCAGTTTGGTGTGTGTCAACGTGCCGCGTGACATACCCACGATGGCCAAAAAAAAGTGCAGATCCACTGCCCCACAGCCATCCCACTTTAATATGTTTTTTAGTTTATTTTTGATCACCCAGAATAGGATCCATTCAGCTAAGAAGTTATTTTTCAGGCGGGGGTGGGGGGTAAAGGATATAGAAATATGAAATATTTAAATCCGAAAATATAAGTGAACAAGTCTAAAAAGAAAATCCACCACAACAGCAGCAGCATCTTACAATTGTAGTGACACAGATTGGAGACAGTAATGATTGGAGGCACTTCTTTATTAACCAAGCACCATCGGGATATATACACACCCTACATCGGTGCACACTATTATAATGAAGACCGTCTATTGTCGGCGGCACTACTTAGTAAGGACAGTTGGTAGCCTGTCTGAATAACAGCACCCCGGGATGATGAAGACGGAGATGACGACGAGATGGTGACGACGATGATATTGAACGGCACGACGGGGATTTCACTTCCCGCAACAGCCCCGATCGATCTAGTGATTAACTCTCGATTAATCAATACTCGAACTTAGCTGTCGGATCGATTATGAGCAGAATCAATACAAAAGACACCTCTATTCAGGTTCCACAAGACCATAAATGGGCAAAGACACACCCACTATAGGCAACACCACGCCTACTTCCTGCCATATATGCTGGAGCCACACAAGACAAAGGAAGTTATTATGAAGCCGCGTTATAAGAGACAATCCTATAAGAGTAATGTCTGTATAAATTAGTATTGCACTTTATAATATATTTTATTGATGAGCATTTTTAAGTTGAGCAATAACGATTAGGATTAGGAAACTCAGCTGAAATTATAATTAAATTGTATTCTGCTCTGATGCTTTCATGCCATTCCTAATACAAATGCTCTTCCAATGAAAAATTTAGCACCTCATGTTAACTTATATACAAATGTTAAATTCAGGCTAAAGGAGAGACCACACCTGTAAAAACAAGGGTCTAAAAAAAACAAGTTGTATACGCACACACCTGATGATTAAGATGAGATGAAAGCAAATCTTGTGGAATCGGCTTGTGAACCTGAATGCTTGACCATTCACGGAATCACAAAGGAGGAGGGGAGAATCTTTACATTCCTATTGATATTAGTAATACGTTACTTCCTAATGCTGTCTGATGATGTCTGTCATGAGTAGGTGTGACCCTGGGCTCGGGAGCATTCGGCCAGGTCGTAGAGGCTCACATTCACTGCCTGGAAGCGTCGGACGAGCAGCCCGTGAAGGTGGCCGTCAAGATGCTGAAAGGTGCCCTTGACAACTCCGACGAGCTAGCACGGTTGGCTACGTGCGGTGCAAAAGAAGTTCAACATGCATGCATACATACGACATTGGCCTTCCTGTCACAGCAGCTGGACGGATGTTTGTCCTCTCAATGTGGAAGATGTTCAGCATTCATTATAATTGGCTCTATACCCTCATGATAATTATCATAATTAGTATTATCGTGTATGTAAGAATCAATTATTTTCAACTTGTATGTCCTGTATGCGATGTGGAAGATGTTCAGCATTCATTATAATTGGCTCTATACCCTCATGATAATTATCATAATTAGTATTATCGTGTATGTAAGAATAAATTATTTTCAATTTGTATGTCCTGTATGCAATGGGTTCACGTGACCCCTAATGCGACTAGAGGCCACTGCGTTCATCACAATGGGGGGGGGGGGGGGGGGGGGACAGTAAATTATTTAATCCAATCTCAACTACGAATTATTGTAGTTCATGGTGTGTTGAAGGGGGGGAGAGAATTATTCAAGCCCCAGTCAGCAACTAACGACGCATACATACATTTATTGCTAATTATAAGCAAAGGAAATGTTAGTGTGAGATTTAGGCTAATGGAGTGAACACAATGGTACAAATTAATACAGAAAATATCAGAAACGACTCAATAAGAATATATTCTTGAATCTTATAGTGATTTGTTAGTCGTGACGATGTATTACATTTTTGGGGAGTGAATTGTTCAATGCGAACAAGATGGTTTGTGCGTTGGTTTGAGCAGTAGGTGGTGTGAGATTGATCATCAATGGTGGGGGGGGGGGGGGGGACAAAGGAGGCGATTGATCAGAGTGGAAGGGAGTAGCCCTGCTGTGACGATGTTCCCTGGTGGTAGGAGACCAGCAAATCTCCACCAAACCTTGCTTTGACTGACACATTTGCAAGCGCCATGTGCACACCAGACGAGATACTCATATCCACCATTTCGTTTCCCAAGCTGCCACTGAGACTCTCATCTATGCCTTCATCGCAATCCGACTCAACAAATTGCAACTCTCTCCCCCGTCGCCTAAACAAATCCCCCCCCCCTACAAACTGGATGATCCAAGATGCCACGACCGGACCTCTCACTCACACCTATAAACAAGGCCACTTCATCCCAATACCTAAATCTCTCCAATGTCTTCCAATCAAATCCCAGTTTAATTTCACAATTTTAAATATCCTCCATGGACCGTTTCCTGCCTGCCTCTCCCCGCCATCTCACACTGTCTCAAGTAGGTTACACAATCATTAAATGTCTATTTGCTTATTGAAACATCCTCTTACAATGAACATTCTATTGGCATATATCACAAAAGTACAAGCGTACAACATATGTCACATACTACCTGTGTGCTGGCAGCCACAGCACATTCCTCAGAGACGGAGGCCCTGGTGTGCGAACTGAAGATCATGAGCCACCTGGGATATCACCTCAACGTCGTCAACCTCATTGGCGCGTGTACCATCGGAGGTGAGAACATGTGATTTTAAAATGTGCCTCTCTCCTGCATGCCATTGAGAAGAATCGCCAAATGTTTCACAGCTATCTGCATGAAATCATTACAATGTGTGTAAGCTATATTCCTCTATTGCAATATAGCTGGGCATCATTTTCCAGTAAATAACATTGTCTAATACATCACATTTCGTATTTTAAGCCATTGACAGAGTGGAGGCTAAGCAAAACATTTGTGACAGATCACTGAGAATCTCCAGCCCTCGGGTGCTCAGTCACACTGCAGGAAATTGACAATTTAAAGTCAGAGTGTCTCCCTAAGTGCTACCCCACCGATGTGGTGGCACTAATCTCGATTGCCATCTTAATCGAGTGGTGCAATAATAGCAGTGTATTTTATTTTGATACTCAGGAAAACCTCACTGAGGCACAAGACATTTTAAAGGTTGATTTGGATGTGGGTGTGGAGGAATGTTGCAGTGGGTAAATGCATTGTACCTTGAAACCAGTCACCTGAGTTAGATTCCCAGCCATCACTAACATTGGTGAGTGATATCTGTGAACCGATCCTGGGTGCCACCTTCATCAACCCCCACTGACCAGCATGGTGAATTATGGATAAAATAACCTCTATGACTGACACTGCAGAGGGGAAGTCTTCATCCAAAACTGGATCAACAAAGGACCTGTAAATTGCATTGCAGTAAAACGTCTTCAAGCAGAACACCAAATAAGCCAGGATTCAGGGACATATGGACAGGTTACCTTGAAAAAAATAAATGTGCATCTTCTAAAAAATAATTCAACACGAACAAGAATAACGCTGACAAGAAACACTGCTCGTGTGCCAACTAAGCTGGTGCATGTGTTCGGATGCAGCTTTTTGCATCAACCAGTTCGCATACATCTGCATATCACGTGGTCTTGCAGTGATGACGTCACGGTGGCTCTTTTGGACAGTAAATAAGTCAAATAATATAAATGTTCTTTAAAAAAATACGTACAACTCAAATCAAATGTGTGTTTAATTCGGTTAGAAAAGTCACGTGAAAAAATAAGAGCGTAAGGTCGCATCACCAGACCATGTGGTAGACTGGAAAATCGGTGAACCTGTGCATTTGGATACCTTGGCTATCCACATACTCTGGTTGTGCTCATACTTATATAAATAAGTTTTACGTTTACCTCCTGGCAGACAATGGCCACATCAACACATCTCAATGCATTAGATCCAGGTACAACCTTCCAAATTCTCAGTTCTGTAAGTATCTCCAGATTCAAGACGTGATCACCAGAGCCAGAGGAAGAGATCTGCTAGCACCCCCACGTGCAAATTATAAAATGGCTCCGGTCAGATAAAGCGAGATACAAACTATCTGAGGCATACCAGTTTCTGCTGTTAGGGACTAATAGTGGACAACTTCAGACCCTAGTGATATAGGAGCAAATAGTGAATCGGCCGATCCCCGACAAGACATGGACTCAGATTTGGAAATCCACCTCCCAAGGGGCCAAATCCCCCCCCCCTGAGAACTATCCCATTAAAATTTCTACACGGTGCCTACATGACCAATCAGAGGAGGGCAACGTTTGGTGCAACCTCAACTCCGGACTGCCTGAGGTACATGTGTAATAATGTTCAGGAGGACTTGGACGCCGGGGTTGGAGGCACACTTATTTATTCAGTACAAGGTACAACACAGACCGGGACGTACAGCACTGGAAGGGGTGTCGGCCCCTTCACCCGTCTAACTGGGAAGTCATGCTCTAGGCTACACCTAGCCTGCCTCTAGGTCCTCCACTATCGGGCTAGGGGATGCTAGCTAACCCAGTCCTGGTTAAGCTGGGATTACGGCGCCCGGAGTCCCCAGACCGGCTCTGACAAGAGCATCGGCTCTGGCTCTCGGGGCCACGCCACTGGCTCGGTCCTGGTCGGCCCTGAGAAGGGCAGCGATCCAGGGGAGTCCCAGGGCTCTATCTAGTAGATCTTCCTTCTTCACTGGTTTAAGCTTAATACATACTGCCCCGAGCCCTCCGGCTCACCCCTTTATATATCCCTCCCCCGTTGAGGGGTGGGGCCGCGGGGGATCCCAGCTCCGTGTCAGCCCCCCAGGCTGAACGGTGCGGACGTCGCTGTGAGCACCTCCCCGCGCGCAGACATAGCCACGCCCACTGTGTTTGTTTACCGTCCGACACAACTGTATAACACCCCCTCCGTAACACCCCTACACATGTAGTACACGATTACAAACATTATTTCTGGTCATGTCCGACTATTGCTGAGCTCTATGAACATATAATGGGGGTATTCAATCAGATTAACAATACATCTGTAAAAATAAGTGTGGAAACTAACCTGCGGGGCCTACGATAAGTGGGGCTGACACGCGAATATAACGTTTTGTTTAGGACTTTCAATATAACGGCCTGAAACACAATATTGAGTACGTGAGAGAATCATGAACCCCACTCCCATACTCAATGGCTGAATTAATTAGGCCCGATCTCAGCACTGGAGCATCTGAACTATGAGCTCAGAGACAAGGAAGAAGAATGCAAACGATCACGGGGGTCCATTCCTAAATCTTAGCCCAGCCTTAAATACCTGAGCCCAGAACGGCAATGACCGGCCAATCCTTCCTCCTCCTCCACTAAATAAAATCCCTTCCCCCCACCTGCTCTGACGAGTCCAGTATGCCTGATATCGCCGATGCCCCTGGTACTGCTGTCTGGAACGTCATGATATTGCAATGTATGATGTGAGGATGTGGAATAAAAAAATATTTTATACATATTTTAAAAAAAATTACAGATGGATTTTTTAAAGCCAATAACAAAAAATATCTTCACCCTTCCATATCCGTTGGATCTCAACCTTCCGCGTCTGCTGCATGGTTATGGTGACGAATTAAACTGTGCAGCAGTGATTTATGAAAGTGTTATTAAATCGTAAATGTTGAGGTGTGAAAACAGTATTAGTTATTTAATTAATACGCTAATTAAACGTGTTAGGTGTTTATTATGTTTACATTTAAATAGAGTAATTGTGTAGTTATTCAGTTATTGGCAGTATGTCAGACATACTCCCTGACTGCAAATGTAGGACACCGAGAGCCCAAATAAAACGCACAAATGCGTTTGCATAAGACTCAAACGTCTGCATAGACAGGTTCACAGCCTCACTTCCTGTACTACCACCTCGTTCGTATCCCAGAGACTCACACATGTTCATATTTCACCAACCCTTGCCTCCTAAGCTCTGCATTAAAGACGTGCACCAACACACTTCATATAGATTCCACATCTCCATGGTGGCGACCTGTAAATCGATATGCTAACCACAATTGACTTCCCACAAAATACTGCTTCTTCTATTGACCACAGCGAGGACAGGTGTAGTCAACACCTACAATGGCAATACTTAAGTTCTCGTTTTTTTTTATTTCCAACAAGCGAATAATGTGATATCTCTCTCTCTCTCCAGCGTATGGAAAATATGTGCAAGTCACACGTCCTTAAAATAAAAATTTCATTTACACGCTTTTATTAACTCACTCCGTCTGTTGTATCCTCAAAAAAAAACATTGTAACTAAATTTTTACACACTTCCCAATGTGCTATCGACTGCAAACTTGAAATACCTATGCCATACTGATGACAAGACTATATTCTATCGTTGAAAATAAAAAATATATCTATTTTTAAACAATATTTTTTACGCCTCTAATTGTCGACGGTCAACTGACGTTACCTGTAAATCACCACGTGGTCCCTGGCGTCACGGCAAGCCTCGGGCAGCCACGCCGAGGGGAGGGGCGATGGGGGAAGGGGGCAGGGGGAGGGGCAGCTCGGACAGTACATTTCATTAAAGCGTGTTTTAAAAAAAAAGTATTTTTAAATATTTTAATTGTGATGGGATTTACATATACTTGAAATCGTAAATATACATGATTTTCAAAAAGGCCGAAGTAATCGTATTAGTTGTGCGATGATGCACTTCGAATGTGGGCCAGAGAAATCTAGCATCTCCCAATCAATAATGGAATGACCTGTTCATATGAAAAAAATACCGCAGTTGACTTTCATTGCATGTATGTCAACTTATGTGATATACTCATTAACGAACGAATAATAATAATATTGCCCTTCGTCCAGAAAATCTTCGACGAGTCTTGAGACTTTTTCAGGCACATGCTACATTGGCCATTTCCTCTCATGGTAGGAGACTCTTGCCAGAATTGCTGTGACCTTATCTCCTACAGGGCCAGTTTTCATCGTCACAGAATACTGCCCCCATGGGGACCTCTTGAACTTTCTTCGCCGCAAGCGGGCAAGTTTTTCTATCTACAACGGCGAAGACACTGACAAGGAAGAGCCCTACAAGAACATCAAGTCCATCACCAATGGGTAAAACAAAATAAATTAAAACATATTCTTAGGTTTTTTCACCTTACCATATTCATAAAAAGTATGCGGCCCTTGCCCCACCACCTTCTCCAACCATTATATAAACGGAGTGGTAGCTCCTGCAATCTCTCATTTATACAGCTGTCGTGGCTGTGACGGTACCACCTAAAGACGGAAGCTTGTGTTGCCTCCGAAACGTCGTGATTTTTATTTTATTTTACTTTTTAATGTTTTTACCTACGTGACTTTACCGAAAAAAACCTAAGAATATGAATCCTTGCAGTCACGAAAGCTTCAAATCTAAAATTAAAACATGTTGAATATAAGAACACATTTTTAGAGATATGTTGCAGTTTGGTGATTTGTGTTTATGAATATCCCCTGTAAATATATCTGGAACACAGGCCAGTTTGTAAGGCAACGGTGCTCTATGTCTTTAGAACCCGATTTCAAATCCCCACCGCCAGAACCAATACATTATTGTTATCATCACTATCTCTATAATCTGCATGATAAATAAGCATAGTTTGAAGAGGTTGCACCATGTGAGGAGACTGATAGTGATGAAGAATTGCAAGAATTCCATGCACGGTGTCTCGTATAACTTCAACTATATATTTCGCTTCAATTACGATGTTAGTTGTGTTTAAGAAAACATGAAAATGCATAATAGGCGGGCTGCGAGAAGGCCTCCATCTTCACCATGATTTGCAGAAATCATAAATAACCGACTCTAATATTAAATGCCCGTTACGTAAGAATAATTTTAAATCGAGTTATGCATTGTTCCATGCCCAGCTTGACAGGAGAACCCCTGCACGACGTAATTAATCTCAAGGGCACACTCACCTGGTTGAAGAAACAGACTAGTGTCTACACATCCCAGGCTTCTCTTTTTGAAGAAACAGTCATTAATATTGAGCATTAGTGTGGTTAAATTAAAGTTTCGATTGCTGTTTGGATTTTCTGCAGGAGCACAAAAGAGAGTGAATATTTGTCGGCTCGTGATCTGCCCAAGGCATTGGCTCAAGGTGAGTGCAATGCAAGAAACTTCCCAGTCAATCACAGCCCAGGTGGCACATTTAAAAACAACTTTAGAAATTTTGCTAAGTTGAGAAACGAGCACAATACTGGTGGTAAGTGAGCTCTGCAAAGGCAGGGAGCATTGATGGCCTGCAGAGAATGATGAGTGATCAACATCATGAACGGTGGCGATTGGCCATTGTTTGTCAATGCAAATCGAGATAATGTACAGGAGGTTAAGGACTGCAGACTGAGTAGTTATCAGATGTAAATAGGTCAACATCCAGGTTAGAGTATCCTTAAGTGGTTGAACAGGTAACAAGGGGAGCTGTTAATAAAGGGAATGGGTGAGGTGGCTGGATGGGAAAGGCATCAACTTGTTAAACCGGCACCACTGAGATGCTCCGTTTATATCTGAATTTCTCAAGTTCAGTGAGAAAATGGTCTTGACCTGGTTACCAATGACTGCACACCAAAAAAAACACGACACTACATTTTGTTTATTACAGCTCTGAGACTTCAAATAATTGGTATAATTAATGTGAAATGGCCATTATTTTTACATGTCATGTAAAGATGTGCCTCCAGTGTGAATGGAGAGGTCTTTAGAATTGACTTCAGAAGTAGTTACGTGACATAATCTCCTTGGTGTGTTCTCTAACAGGGTGATGCACTGCTAACTGTAAAGCTTAAAATGTAACTTTGTCCGTGTCATGTCAATTTTAATATAACTGGGAAAATAAATATTTAAAAATGAAAGTGGATGGGTGACCTTTTAAGCAATGAAAGTTGTGAAAGAAGGCAACAGGACGTTTGGTGAATCTAATCTCTATCAGCAACACAGGCCCGAGCATTGTAAGTGGTCAATTGTATAATTGAACAACTGTGGGTTATAATCAGGTGTTAATACAAAAGTAGGTGATCAGTTCCCGAGAGCTGAGTCACCTGGAGGTGTAAAGCTGTGGCAGGTCGTCAAGGAAACTCAGTTTTGAAAGGCGATATGAAGACATGCAGGAAGAATATAACAGGTTTCAGAAAACTGTACTGAACCATGCAATTATCCTCTGTGTGAGTTACGTGTGAGTTGCGTGCTGCGGGTGTTTCAGCAGACAGCCTTATTGGTGGCGATGGCGGTGATGGCAATGACATTGAAGAGGATCATTCCCTTGAGCTCAGAGATCTCAAGAGCTTTGCTCACCAAGTTGCGCTGGGAATGGCCTTCCTCGCCTCAAGACACGTACGTTAATGCGTCCTTGTCTGCCCATCTTACTGTCAGTCCATAATAGAGGTTAGATCGTGTAAATATGTAAATGTGTCGTTAAAACCAGCCACCACCCGACACAGCCAACTAGTAAGGGTTGTCACGTAACAGAACGTGGCCAATTCGTCACTAGTACAGCACGCCGGTGTGTTGGAGAGCCAAGCCACAACAATCCACAAATGTTCCTTCAGTAAATAATACTTTCATTGGTTTTTTTGGCTGATAATTATAAATACATTATCAAATTACAACAAATGGCCACAACGGTTAGCACAGTGAGGCCTTCCTGGAAACACTATCTCTTCTCCATCATCTTCATCATCAGCAGCAGCAGTTTTCACGATGGTATCTGCAACATCGTCAAAGTTATAATCTTCAACAAATGCCATTATCATTGTAAACCTCATCACTATTTTCATTAGCACAATTAGCATCACAAACGTCAAAGCAATATTCATTCTTTATCACTGTAATCATCATTTATCCTTACTATTATCGTCTTCTTCAATAATTGTAATTTTCCTCCTTTGTCTAAATATTCACTTTCATCTTCTCTTCATGTACATGAACCAGTATTTCTATAATAATGCGTTTTCTCAAAACATTCTATATTTCTAATAATGTTTTACTTCTCTGGAAATGTTCTCCAGTAATTCGCCCTCATAACGATCCCTCTAACAATGCCTTAAAATGAAATGTATATAATAGATGTCATTTCGAGATAATGACCCTTAAATTTCGATTTAAAGCTTTCGTGACTGCAGGGATTCATCTTCTTGGTTCTTTCGGTAAAGTCACGTAGAAGGGAAGTAATAAAATAATAAAAATAAAACATAATAAAATAAAATAATTCTCACGACGTTGTGGCTACAACGGCTGCTTGCGTTGTAGCCGAAACGTCGTGAGAATTATTTTATTTTATTATGTTTTATTTTTATTATTTTATTACTTCCCTTCTACGTGACTTTACCGAAAGAACCAAGAAGAATGACCCTTCTTCATGGAACACAGAGAGTGATCATGTTGCTGTTCGGTTTCATGTATCTCCAGTGTGTGCACAGGGACCTGGCTGCCCGTAATGTCCTGGTGTCGACAGCTCACGTCGTCAAAATATGCGACTTTGGTCTTGCACGTGACATCACCTGCGACGACAACTACATCACCCGGGGAAATGTGCGCTCACACAACCAGTGATCAAAACCATCTGTGTGGTTCTGCCTCTCCACATTCTGCTTGTGTCTCTCTCCCGTCGTCTCCTTGTGCCCCCGTGTTCCTTGCCCGCTTTATACTGATGCTAGTTATATACTCATCATTAAAAAAACCGATGCATTAAGTTATGATTTTCTGTATCTGATTTTGTATTTTTAGTCATGAAATGTCATAAAAAGTGCAAACATTTTATCCACAAATTTAGGCGAGCCAAATATTTGTATTAGCATATTTCTAAATCATATGTCCAAATGTAATACATTACAATGCAAACCTGTCGATTAAAACAACTTTTTTAAGCAGTTAAAAAATCAACATACGTTCTAACATTTTATGGGCCAACTATTTAGTTGAGCCAAATTAAAAAATATTGGTTTTAAGATTTGTATAGTTCTAAGCATAGACTCGCCTATATTTTAAGATGTTTCGCCCTTCTAAATTACCATTACAATTTACATCACTCACAATTGGCACTATATGTACTAGATATGTATGCATGTGTATTTGTTCCCGTGTGTCCCTGTGTCTCAGACCCGCTTACCTGTGAAGTGGATGGCCCCAGAGAGCATCTTCCACAGCTTCTACACCTCCCAGAGTGATGTGTGGTCATATGGCGTTCTGCTGTGGGAGATCTTCTCTCTTGGTGAGCTACAGGGCAGGGGGGAGGCAATAAGCAAGACTAAATACATTGTTTCAGATGTTAAGACTCATTGAGTTAAACAGTTCTTTTACAAAGACGGCCAGCCAAATACCCAACAGCAGTGGCGGCAGTTATAGGAGTGGGAAGTTGAAGGACATTGCACTGTTGGAATATGCAAATTAACATGAGGAAAGTGTTACGACTGTATGTCCTATTCCCTGTCAAAAAATATTAGTTTTGTAGTGGCTAGGAGGGGGGATCCCACTTCCAATAATCAAAGTTCTTCACAGAATTAATTTATGCAGCATTCAGTGTATTGACAGTAATATCACATCCATTCATCACCTTGAAAAGTAAAACCCATCTCATGTTGCGACAGATATTCAGATCTCACCATCATCTGAACTCACACACTGAATGTTCCCAGCCTACAGCCTTAATCACTGTATTCAGCTCAAAGGTTGAGTTTGTGTATTCATCATATCGCGTTTCTGTGTCACGTACCCCTGATCTTGAGATCTCTGGCACTGGTTTATGATCTTCTGTCAGTCTCTCTCCCTTCGTCCACTAACTTGTGATTACAGCTTACCAAATATATAAAATCACCAAATGTACAAAATCACCCAAAGCTCTTCCCCAACCTCATTACTGCTACTTCCATTGGTATGCGTGTTTTTTTGTTGCGCAGGTGAAAACCCTTACCCAGACATAGCTGTGGATGGGAAATTCTACAGGATGATTCGTGATGGATACCGCATGGATGCTCCTGAGTTCGCCCCATGCAATGTGTGAGTTAATCCCACCTCTTTCACTCTGAAGATCAAGTAAACCGTGTTACTTTCCCGAGTATAACGTTATTGCATTCTACATATATTGCATAACATCCTGTGTTAAGTCAAACAAATTCTCCAACACGATTTCGACTTAATTCAACATCAATTGTCGTCATTGAGATTGCTCCTAAATCCCCCAAAAACCGAAGATCTTGCTACTTTCTTTAAACAAATTTTAAGTTTAATTCCCTTCACCTATTATGGATATCAGAAGCAACATAATTTGAACAAAAGGAGTGCTTAAAATACTTGGGTTTACTGATTGATTCAAAACTTGCATTCAAACCCCATTTTGATCACATCTAAAAGAAATAAAATAAAAACTAAGTTTTTTTTTATACAGAAACAAACATTGTTTGATTGTGCCTGCAAATTTTGGAACCTATCGTTTTACCACTTTTTGACGACTGTGCCACTTCTTACAGATCAGCTACTAATGAAACACGAAACAGACAAAAATTGCTTTATCATTTTACTCGTCGATTTGCAGTGAATGTACCATACAGGACCCACCATTGTGACCTATACTTGAAATCCAATCTCATTACTTGCTGCAAGAACAAATCTACATTGGGCCCTGTTCATCTATAAAATCCTTATTCACAAATCTGCGCTTTACCTAGCTAATTCATTCACCCCATTGTCAAACCCAAGAAACTACAGTCTTGTTTTTTTGTCCGAGTCAACTTTTGTTTTGAGATGTTTTATTCATTGAATTTTGATTTATTTTAATGCAGTTGTTTTCTATTCCTCCTGTAATGCAGTTGTTTTTGCTGTGATTTATATTTGCTTAATTTTTTTTTTTTGCAAAAGTGACCTGGGTCAACAAAACAAAGTACAACAAAACATGACTGTTAGACTAAATGGGGGATCTTTAATTATGTTTTATGTTCTGGCAGCTACCAAGTGATGCTGGACTGCTGGAGTGGTGACCATGAAAATAGACCCATGTTTAATCAGCTCGCACAGCTCATGAGTGAGCTGTAGTCAAGTCCAAGATGCTTCAGGCATGAAGTCACACTGTGTCTATCGCCTCTCTGTGAAGTGTATTCATGAGCACTTAACCATAGCCCTTTCGCTCCCGGCCTTGTAAACGTCTACCCCTTATGCCCCCACCACCCCCCCGTTAACACGCACATGCTTATGCTTTTAAGGCATTGTAGGGCTTATATTCCCACAATGTAGTGGTTCTTGAATATTGTTTACTTCAGTATGTTATGATTGGATTTTATTTTAGTGTTTGATGTTCGAGACCAGTCCTTGGTCTCCAAGCTGACGCCAGGACATTTCCTCAGGTCTTGTCCTTTTAATGCTTTTTTAACCAGGAAAACCTCACTGAGTCTCATGTTTATTTTTCAGTACGCTCCTGCAACATTTTCGCACTAGTGTGGTGGTTATTGGTTTGTAGATTCCAATTGAGGAATTGTTAATCTTTGGAAAATTTGGATCGTCATACCTGCACAAAATGCATTTTTGTGTGCAAATTATGTCAGAGGATCTGACAAATCCATTGTGATGCAGATAGTGTGTTTGTTCATGGTTAATACACCTCAGGGACGTGCGGACAGGGGAGGCAGGGGAGGCAGGGGAGGCAGAGCCTCACCTGTTATACTCCAAATAGCTGTTACGAAAAGTTACAAAAAAGAATAATCAAATAAAATAAATATTAAGATTTTCCACTGATCTGTGCTATAAATGTCATTTCTGTACGAATCCAATCATTTTTATAGTAAAAACCGCCAAATCTCCGCAGCTCCGCTGCAAATACAAGGAGAGACTATAGGTGAGGCAGCGACGAGCTCAGCCTCCCCTCTGATTGCGCAACCCCTCAGTAACTGGATGTAGCGCGGACAATAAGCGCGTGCCTGTTACTATCTCAGTATGTCACCAATATAATGCTTGTAGACCCCTTCATTTCATGTCCTCGCCTTCCATACACCAGGTAACTTATTTCACGAATGTGTATAAAAATATTTAGGCTCGCTGGTCTCGTCATGAAACTGCAATGAAAAAGCACCAGGGGAGGCAGCTATCACATCTGCCTCACTGATGGGGACGTGTCTAACATGCCCCCTCAGTGAGGACACGCCCCCTCCGTGAGGCCACGCCCCCTCCGTGAGGCCACGCCCCCCTCAGTGTGTGAATCTGGCTCTGACACTAGCCAGTGCTTCATAAGGGCGGTCGCTGTGCCACGTCACCGTCCTTGATCTTAGCCTCAAAAGGTGTGGCCTTGACTGTCCTTGAAGGCTCTGACTACGTGGGTATTTCAAACTGGTCACATGTAACCAAGGTTGAGATCATTAGCATATTAGTACTAGGTAGTATATCAATGCAGTATTGTCTCAATATGTATATCCCTCAAATGTTACGGTGTTTTGGAGATGCATTCACCTTTAAATGTTTTTCTATCCAAATAGTTTGGAAACTTTTTTTACTTCAGTATATCAAATCTGACATTGGACGATGACATTGGTTAGACATTGAAGCTGAATAATGAGAGCTGAAGCTTAACTGAAAATAATCAACCTTGAAAGCAATAAACACGCGTATCTGAAATATGAAACTGATATGAAAACCTGGTCGAAAAAATTGAATCTAAAATAACATAGGTAAAAAACACAAATCGGTTGCAAAAACAAATGATAGTCATTGTCAACTGAAACTTTAGATGCATCCACATATGGATAGGTTTCTGCTAAGGCTTGATCCACTTCAGGAAGGGATTTTGTGTGGACTGTCTTATTGCAGCAGTAAATTAAGATTGATGAATTACAGTAACTTAGTATTTCAATTGAAACCTTTCGTGACTGCAGGGATTCATATTCCTTTGTACGTGACTTTACCGTAAGAACCAAGAATATAGTAACTTAATCATTGATAATACAATTGTCGAGGTGCACAGCATCCAACGTATTACTGCAGAAATCGCAGCTACCATGCTCAGTGTGTCATGATTCTTATACGAAGCTTTATTTCCCCAAAATAAATTGTGCCTTAAACATGTGTTAACATTAGCTGGTATGTAATTTTTACTCTGGTAATAGAAAACGTGTAATATTGGTAAAACTGAAAATACTAAAAAAGAAATGCTGTTTTTCAGTTGCTCTTTTTTCCTATTTGTCTAGATGTGAGATTACGTGTTTGGGAAAACAGTGCTGGCAAAGGCATATCGTGGACTAGGTGTGGTCTGAGTACAATGCTATTCTTGCGTATACATCAATATTTTCAGGAGCTAAATGCCAATGTCGAGGTCTTTCCTGGAAGGTTCTGAAGGAGGGCAATTCATGATTTGGTCTTTTCACAGATCTGTATCATGTGGGGCTTGAAGGCCAGGCTGCTATCAATGATAACCCCGAGATATGTCGAAATAGGGTCATAGCACACTGAACTACTACAGAAGGACACACCAATAGTGGCATCTGCAACATGATTGTTTAAGTGGAAAGTTCTTTTGGTAATTTGGATGGATTCGGTCAGTCTCCAGTGACAGAAATATGCTTGCAATAACATTAGATCAGTTAGAGTATTGGCAATGTTATTAAAGGCGATGACATCTTATATATGATGAACATGTGAGATGATGTGCAGTGACACACCCTGAGACACTGCTAAGATGATCTCCCTGCTTTTCCCCAAACCTTGGGCCTACCCCTCTAACCCCGAGCTCTGATTAGCACGGTTGGCTACGTACGGTGCTAAAGAAGAATGTAGTGAGTCCAACTGAGTCATAGACGTTGTCTATGGAGCAACACGTTTTATTCAACTCTTAGCACAACATACTCCAGGCTATTAACACAGCACACTCTCGGGTGGTGACCACCCAACTAACCACGCTACAGCGGAACTAGACACGGTTCCACTATCCCGGTCCGGACCACAAGCTGGGTCCCAGACCGCGTGGCTGGAGGCTTCTTCAAACTTGAAGTGGATCTCCTGCCTCTCCAACAGTAAGAACCCCGAGCCCCTCACAGAGCTCCCCTTATATCGGGCCGGGCTGGTGCTGGCTCCGCCTCTCGCCCCGCCCACCTCGATCTCTCTCGCCCTTGCCCGAAGGCTCTCGAGAGTTCTTCCTGGACCATGTGACCACCCATTGGCCCCCTCCACCGGTGGCCCCCTCCATTATAATCTGGTCACATGTCCCCAGGTCAGCCAGAGTATCATGCCCCCAACGTAACCCTAGCTGGCTCACACTCTCTCGCTCTCTCAACGGGAGCCCGCACTGCACGCTGTGCATGGCCATCGCGCTTAACCAGCGCTCACCCAAGCCCCCACTAGGGCTGGTACTACACCACGTGTCCCGGGTGTACACACAACAGTATACATCCCGCCGTGGCCTCACAAGCCCGGCACCACACAGTGACATTCCCAGTCACTACATATACATAACATTGCTGTTACTGTTACTTGATACACTGCTGTTATTAATTCGCGTCACTGCCCCTCTAACCTGGCCGCTCACACATCACATGCACACTCGCCTACCCCAGCCCACCGTGCACCTGCCTAACTTACAAGAACACGGGCCAGGTAAGAAACATTGTATTAAACATTTAACAAATTCCACCAATAACTCCCCTCACCACTAATCTAAAGCTAACTAACACTAACACGCTGAAGATCAAATGAACCGACACTAACCAGAAAACCCAAACCTAGCCCCACCCAGCTCCCACAAAGCTTACACTAACAAACTCCTACTAATCTATTAACTAGACTAACACCAGCTAACCCAGGACATCAGCCTCTAGCCTCATCTTTCCCGTCCCAGCACTCACTAAAAACTCATTCTAGCCCCCCCTACTAATTTCTCGTCCCCCTTCCCCTACCCCCCTCATCCCGCAGTGCCGCCCAGCTCCTCGTCTACATGTTTAGTGGGGGCGGGAAGTGGGCGTTGCCTGGAATCTTTCGAGCAAACAGCCCAAAACACGTTGGTGGGGGGCGATGATGGTGGGGACCATCCATGGCCGTGGCACCAAAGATATTAATGACAGGTCACTTAAACATGTAGTCCTCGTTTAACGCGGTAGATGCGTTCCAGAAAAGTGCCGCGTTAAGTAAAAAACGCATTAACCGAAAACGATTTCCCCATAAATTTAACGATAAGGTTTGGCGAGATTCGATATATGCACACACAGTAAGATGGCTGGACAATAATTGAGGCTATGCCGCTGTCTTACTCTATCATTCCACGTATATATCATACCGCTCAGCCGCACGGCTCAAGAAAGTAGTTTGTCGTAAACTGCTCAGAAACGACGTTATAACGGGCGCATTCCACGTAATAACGGGCGCATTCCACGTAATAATGGGCGCTTTCTGGGTTGTGCAAAAAGTGTTCCCCAATGGAAAAACTATGTTATAGCGAAAATGCATTGTGTGAACACGCGTTAAGCGAGGACTTACCGTATATGTAAAATATCAACGGTGGTAGTACGAAGCCTTGAGGGAGGCCATTGTTCATAATTCTGCTGCGACTGTTTACTTGTGATGTGTACCCTGAATGTGCGGTTGCTGAGCATCATGTTGATTAGGTTTACAGTTTTATAAAATGGCATCTTATGATTTTCAGCAGCAGGCCATGATGCCAAATGGTGTCATAGGCAACAGAGAGGTCAATCCTTACTGTGCAGTTTTGTTATTGTTGCTGCTGGAAACCAGCTTCTATGAGAGTAGTGAAGGCAATAATCTGCTCTTAGCAGCTACGACCAATTCAATATCTAGCTTGTTCAGGAGGCAGTTGCAGGCCAATAATGGGGAAAAGTCTGCTGAGCACATTCCATCAGCTTGGAAGTGGAGGACAAGAGGGATATTAGTTTTGCGGCTATCCAGGTTTCAGGAAGGTGATGACTTTGACTTTCTTCCATGCTCTCGAAAGTTTGCCTCTGTTGGTTTTGAGGCATGTAGGTTCTGGAGGTGCTGCCAGGTTTTAAGGCTGGGGTGAGTGAAGTCCAAGTTTGCAGTGACATCTCCCAATGTTTTATAGATTCCAGCAGTGTGGTGCCCTTATCTTGGTCAAAAGTTCTGATGAACTCTATCAAGAGTTCTCCTGTTTATGGTTACCAACATGGTAATGAGCTTTTCCGATACCCTCAGGGATGTTGTTTTTTTAGCAGTAAATGACAAGGAGTTTAATAAAATTATCGAAGTTTTCAGGCTTTTGCTCAAGGTTCTTCAATTGGGCTTCATTTATTTTTCGTAGCCAGTTCAGCTGTCTTCGGAGAGTTACAAAGCAGCCATGGTTTTGAGGTTATGATTCAGTATCAGTAATGCAATGTGCGTGACTGCCAGTCTGTATCGGCTCTTCAGAAAATTGCCTCTAATTGTAGGCATAGCAGTTAGTGGCTGTCTATTCTTGTCCTTTAAGACAAAACACAAGTCGAGTCAACTTTCATCTGGCTTTGTGAAATGTGCCTGGCTACTTATGGTCATATATAAGGAATGTGACTTGTGCCAACGATTGTTACTTGAGTTTCTGTCCGACTTCATCATTTTCTGAGTTGCACACTGTGTGTGGTGGCTAGTGAAGTGATCCACACATATAGCCGGGTAAGTGTCTGCTGGCAGAGGTAGTGGTGGTCATTCCTTATTCCGGGGATTATATACATTGATGATCGTTACATGACCAACTGTGATGGTTATAGACGATGTGCCATAATTTGTGATACAGTGGACATGAAAGCATAGTTTAGGCCTTGTCTGATAGGGTGGTAGATTGCAGCAATAAGGATGTATCCATTTATTCTGTAACTTGCATCCACGTGTTGTCCTCGTCTCCTGTAAGGTGATGATGCAGTGCAATTTTCCCTTCAGTTTCTGTCCAGGAAGTCACATTTAGGTCTTGGGAATCCTTAAAAGTCTAGTTGGTACACTAAGACCTTGTCAGATTGGTTTCTGGCCCTCAACAGGGCCTTTTATGCATTCAGCTCTTCTGATCAAATCTGAATTCGAATTAACGACATAAATTTTGCCAAGATGACGGCATTCGTTGTGTTGAAGGTAACACGAAAACACAACAGGTGGGCCACAATAAGCCTACTGTTTCCCACCCTGAGTACAATTGAAGAGTAGATTTGTCCTGTAGGTACTACATTAATATTTATCTGCGTCCAGTGTCAACAGAGCAAATGCTTCCGACCTGACAAGGTGCCATCCTGAATATTTTTTAAGTCGCACCTACAAAAAACAGGCATGAGCAGCTACAAATTCTTTTATTGCTAATTTAGTTATGGTTTTAATATTTACCAGATAATTGACATGTTTTTTTTTATTCGGTACGGAAACCCTTCTGTAATCCAATGCAGAAACCTCTTTTCATCCAATACATCATCATCATCACAGTCCTTGGCCAGACAGTCCGTAGGTGTCAATTGCACATTTCGTCATGTTTCCACTTTCCTCTGTTCTGTGCCAAAATGGTTCTTTCCGTTAAGCTAATTTTTCGACCCACTCCTGGTTATTCGACTGGGGGACAAGGACACTGTTCTCCGAGCCGATGTCCTTCTTCTCTGGCCGTCATGCCCGACCCTCCTTTTTATCCAGGCTTGGAACTGGCTCAGATATCCACCAGATTGTGTACCCGCGACGTGGAGTTCTTCCAATGCAGGTTCGACATCACGTAAGGAACCCTTGACACGTATACTGTATTATGTGTTATTCGGTATATTATTATTAGCGTTTGCACTGTGTTCCGAGCCAATGAACAGCATCATCTTCAGCATGGTGAAGCGCCGATAGTCCACCGTCAAAACATGTCAATGGACATTTGTGACATCGTCTGTGATGCTCCACAGCTGCAGGTTGGGTCAATAGCCTGACCCCATTGGACGAGGTTGACCGCGCAGCGACCTTGTCCCGTCCGGAATGTTATTCAGTGCAAATAACCCTTCTTTAAAAGTTATTAAAGTCTGATCTTCGTTGGATGTGTTGAAATATATACATTATGAATGCCTTGTGGCATTCGTATAGGCAACATTGAAAGTGATGGAGTTATTGAAATTATTCTTGTCTTGTCAGCCAGTCAGGCAAGTCAGGCTACAGAGAAGATCCTGATTGCTGGGCAGCAAAATCTGTCATCCTGAAATCAGAACGATGACCATTTGGGCCCCCCAAAATTTGGGTGGTGAGGCAGATGCGGTGAGCTAACCTGTGTTTATTTCTTTGAGCGCTAAAAAAAAAAAAATTTAGCACCAATATAGTCGAGTAAATGTTTATAACTAAAAAAATATATGATAATTGAAATGTTCTGCCCCCTCTCCCTCATTGGGGCCCCAAAGGCATATTTGAATATAAGTTTTGAGAGAAAACGATTATTGTAACGAAATTCACAAATTAAATGAATTCCAATTATTATAATACGCTTGTTTAGCCAGGAAAGCCTTGCAAAGTATCAAGACTCCGCAAGGTTTGCAGTCGGGGGGGCTATTTTGCTGCTCTGTAAAATCTCAGTTGAGTAATGTTCCGGTAACTTTTCAGTATAGGAATATGTCGCCAATAAGAGTTACATTGTATGTGGTGGGTTTGTTTTTGCTACAGGAGTAAAGCATGAGCGTTTTACACAGCCATGCCTTCAATGGAAATATTCCAACTATTCTCGATTGATGGTTACAACCTTGATCCTATAGCACTGTCAATAACACTGTGATTGTAAAATGCAGCGCATTGAAAGTCCTGTACAAGTTATTTTAAAAAATGTAAGTGAAATATTGCACTTGAAGCCAGATAAAAAAAAACTCAATAAAGAATGCTGATTTCTTTAATTCTCACCATGTGTAGTTCGTTGTCCTTCCCCCGCACCTCTGATTAGCACAGTTGGCTACTTACGGTGCTAAAGAAGTTCCACATACATATACACATAAGTCTTCATTTTTCCGACCCATTATATAAGACTGATGTAAAACATTTAGCCTAAGTGTTTCAATTATAGTGAATTTGGGATAAAAGCATCATATGGTCTGTGTCTCGGCCTCGCTGTGCGCTGCGTTGCACCACTATCCAAGTAGTTAACCTCGCATTCAATAAACCTACAGAGCCAGGGTGAACATCTGACTCCAAACGTATTTAATGAATAGAACGAGGTAAAACTTATGGAAAAAACACGGCACAAAATACAGCATCTGTTAATACTTGGAATATCAATACAATTGTAACGCGATAAACGGGGTACTTACCTGCACTAGCAGACATCCACCAGTAGGGTGTGATGTGTGGACCACCAAGGTTCCCCAGACCCCAAGAGGGAGGCTGGGGGAAGATTCCAGGTCCCTCTGGAACTCTCTGGAAGGGAGGAGTGGCCAGGGGCGTGGGGACCCTGGCAGGTGTATAAAAGCCGGACCCCTGACCGGGTTCGGCAATGTTCCTCAAGCCGAAGACTGAAGACCGGACTTAGAGTAGGACCCTGGGTACCCCCAGACCCGACATCCTTGTAAGGGCCGGGACTGAGTGGGCCAGTGACCGGGACCTGAGGACCTTGGCTGGGTCGGGTCAGGATAGCCTCCCCTAGGGCCTCTAGCCGGAGGGCTGAAA